ACTATTTACTGTATTAACTTTTATTTCTATTGTAATATTAAAATTTCATTCTGCATAACTTGAGTCTCTACGTTTTTTTTAGTAATTTGCTTTTGTAAATTCGCTTTTTAGAAAACAGCTGATGCGAGTTGCTTTTATACACAGCTTGATTATTTTGTTTATCATCAAACCCTTACCTAAATACTCAAAGCCCTTAAATCTGTGTTTGGACTTCTTTGTCAACATATCATGCGTGTGATAAACTAATCATAGTTAACACTGTTTTTTATAAATTTCCTAATATTCATTGATATAAGAAAATAAAAAAAAAAACAAACAAAAAAAATTCTTAAAATAAGTTATGACAACCAAAGTAACGAAACTCTGGACTAGCAAAACTTTTACATTTTGCACGTGGGTCGGGCAAAACGGGACAATTAAAAGCATCAGTTATGTGTCATTTAAAGCTTTAAAAATAATGAAATGTGAAGGCTATTGCCTAAATATGTTCAATCATTAAACTCTCTCTCTCTACATATATATATATATATATATATATATATATATATATATATATATATATATAATATATATTATATATATATATATATATATATATATATATATATATATATATGTATATATATACATATATATATATATAAATATATATATATATATATATATATATATATATATGTATATATATATATATATATACATATATATATATATATATATATATATATATATATATATATATATATATATATATATATATATATATATATATATATACATATATATATATATATATATATATATATACATATATATGTATATATATATATATATATATATATATATATATATATATATATATACATATATATATATGTATATATATATATATATATATACATATATATATATATATGTATATTATATATATATATACATATATATATATATAAATATATATATATATATATATATATATGTATATATATATATATATATACATATATATATATATATATATATATATATATATATATATATATACATATATATATATATATATACATATATATGTATATATTATAATGTATATATATATATATATATATATATATATATATATATATACACACATATATATGTATATATTATAATATATATATATATATATATATATATATATATATATATATATATATATATATTTAAATAATTTTAAAAATGTGTTTTACAAAATATAGTGCTCAATGTTCAATGTATTGTATATATATATATATATATATATATATATATATATATATATATATATATATATATATATATATATATATATATATATATATATATATATATATATATATATACAATATATTAGTATATATATATATATACTAATATATTGTATACATACTAATATATTGTATATATATAGTGTTCAATATATTAGTATATATATATATATATATATATATATATATATATATATATATATATATATATATATATATATATATATATATATATATATATATATATATATATATATATATATATATATATATATATACTAATACTACAAACTTAAGCAATATTCTTAATTCTTTTTAATCACTGACATTTTAAGATTCTATATACAAAATCGACAGTTTAAAAATGAATCGCAAAGTTCACAATGTTTTGAAAATATTGGACTAAGTTCAATTTATCTAAATGTTTTTTTATACTTTGAAGTACCATTTACGACAAACTTTGACTCCCTGCCAACGAGGTTGTCTTTCGCACAGCAATACCATTTATGATTCCTGAAATTTTCGGTAAAACTAAAAAACCATTATAACTTTTTGTTTAATGTTACTTAGTACAGAAAAAAAGGACACGAATTTCAATACTCGAAAATACCATCCTCGATATAACTTGTATCACATGATAACAGCAGTGCGATTGCTCCAACCAAATGCGAGTAGTTTGTGGAAAAAAAATTAAAACAATTGGCAAAACACATTTTTTAGGCTTAATGTTCTTAACACACTCTGTGCTTGGGAAGATGAGACTATGCGACGATCTTTTCAATTGTTTTGAAAACCTAAGTATAAATTATTTTTTCTGGTTAGCCGAAGAATTAAATTATATTTAGAGTCTAATGTTAAATTCAACATAAAAGAATATTGTTAAAAATTAACTTACGCTGTTATTCATGACTTAAAACTAATCAAAATTGCTTTTAAAAACAAAGAAATTTTAATAGTATTTATGTTATAAATTTCAAGATTTTTTCCTAAACAAGTTTATAAATATACTTTTTTTCAGTCAATTGACTTTAGCTTTGTAATGAGTCAATGCTATCTTGCTTTGCCCCGTTAGATAAGAAAAATTAAAAATGTTTTGCAATCAAATATCATGCAAATAAATAATATCTAAGTATATACTTTTTAAAGGTTTGAAGTCGCTTGGCAAACGTCATTTCCAAGCGTAAATTACATATGTAAATACGTAATTCACTCAATGTATGATTTACGTAAGTAAATCTCCCCGTTTTAATCTGCATAATATGTTGGTACCAATATCAATATTAATACCAAAATAAATATTCGTTTCTATTGCAACTTTGTCAAGTATTAACTTTATATTAAATAATATAAAACTATATTAAACGTGTTTTGCAAGCTAAAATTTTTAGCTTGAAAACTATTTAAACTATTTTTTTTGAACGTCGGCTGCCGGCTGGGTAGTTGTTTATGAACTAATTTTTCAAACAAATGCTCTTTTATTTATATTTCTTCTCATTCAAATGAGCTTTGTTAATATGTTTAATATATGTCTCGAATGTCATGTTAAAATGACAGTTGGATTTGAAGAATTTTTTTTATAAATATATGATTAATTTAATGGGTTTTTTTTCTTTTATTTGGGTTACTGAGGAAAAAATTTTCAAGTAAATTGTTTAAATGTATTTATGTTGTAAAAATCTGATCCAATCTAATTTTAGCTAATATTCTTGCCCATATTTCTAAAAAATATTAGATCTTTTAAAAGAATCTGTTTCAAGGAACAAATAATTTTAGTATATGATATACTAAAATTATTTGTATATCATATACTAAAATTTATATACTAGTATATAATAATTTCAAACATTTCAGTATATGAAATGTTTGAAATTATTTCTCAATGAACTGTAAAAATTTGTATTCACAGTTTTACTATTTACGTGTATATGTATGTATATGCACGCGTATGTGTATGTATATGTGTTTTTGTGTACATATACATAAATATGTATTTGTATCTTTGTATTTATGTATGTGTAGATATGTACATGTAGGTGTATGCATGTCAACTTTTAACTTATCTGTTTTGCTGTTTTCATAACCAACATTTTACAAAGCCAAAAAACGAAGGACAGACAAAAGAACATTTATTATACACGAGGAAGTATTTATCAATTGATGAATTAAAATGTATAATCAATTAAAAATGGCTGAAAAAATATTGCGTAAACTTTGAATTGAAGGTTTAGTTTATTTCTGACAGACACTTTTAAAGAACTGAAAAAAAAGAAAAATTGAAAAAAGGCATAAACTACAATAACGCTATTCAAGGAGCATATTTATATACACAAGAATATAATATCAAAAATGTTTAACCGCAAAGTAGAACAACTGAATATCAAAATGACTAATATACAAAAAGAAAATATAACTTAAAAATTGCACCAACTATAAAAAAATGATGAAATTTATTTTCTAAAAGTACGAAAATCTGACGAAGATTTCATACCTCAATTAAAAAGTACAAAAAGAAAAAGATAAACAAGAAAAAATAATCACTTAAAGACTATTGACATGAACATATATTTACTGGAATCAACATTTTATAAATTACTAAGAAAAAACTCAATCATTAGATTATTACAAGCACCCCAACCACCATAACACCCCAAATAACAAAAAGATCTAAAAATAAGCCAAATATTAAACGTTTAATCTCAAATTTTAGCGGCTCTCTGCATCAAAACCTAATGGTCTTCTTTGAGTTTCCTTATTTTTTAATTTTTATTTTTTATCGATTTACTAATTTATTTTATCGATATACTAATTTATCGATATACTAATTTATATTTTTTTTCTTTTTTATATAAAGTATGAAGATAAACAAAAGATGTAAAATGAAGAACAAAAAATAAAAAAAAACTATTTAATTTTTTATACTTTGTTTGCTTTTTTGTACAATGAGTTAAAAAATATATTTATATTTTATTTATTAATTAACCACTTAACATCCTGTTTTTAAATTATCTAGAAAAAGATTTAAAAAACAGGATATAAAACAATATTTTGCATTTAATCAACTCTTCATAATGTATTGATCAGCTTATTATTAATTTTATAAAATCTCTTGGTTCTGACGTCACTGTTGTAACTACTGCGCCATGGCTTCTCGGTTTTTTATTCGGTTTTTTTAATAAAAGGCTACTTCACTAATCACAATTTTTTTGCATAAAAAATTAAAAAAATGTTCTTAAAAATTGAAAATATATATATATATATATACATATTTTGTATATATTATTAATACATATTTTATATTATATATATTATACATATTTTATATTATATATATTATATTATATATATTATAGTATATATATTAATACATATTTTGTGAACTATTTAATTGATAATAATAGTTTAATTATAAAGCATTAATTTACAAAACTAATATATTCTATACTTTTTTTTTAATTGTGTAAAATATATTCATTGTATATAAAAATAAAAATACAATATTAATGTGTTTACTTTTTTAATTTCTTAATGATTTCATAAAAATGTGTCAATGAAACGATGACCTATGAAATGAAAAAATATATTGAATGTGAAAGTATATTTAGTAAGTGATTAAATTTTTTTTAGTTATTATGCATAAAAATGATGCATTTTTAAATTATTATTTTACATAAATAAATACATTACATAACGCTAAAATGCGTAATAATTATTGAGTTACATAACGCAGTAATGCATAAAAAGACAAAAAGTTGGTCAACAATGATTTGTCTTTTAATTACCATTCATATTCAGTAACAGTCACAGTAGCAGGTTTTAATAAAAATGAAGCTTTTGCTTTTAGTTTTAACTTTTGCTGGTAAGCATAAACACTTTTTATGTTGGTATTAGAATTAGACAAAGTAAAATGAATTAAAAATCTTGAATTTTAGGAATCCAAGTATATGTGTCAGCTGATAAGCCTGCACCAACTCCAGTAGCACCTCCTTGTAAGTAAACCACTTTTAGTATTTTCAAATTGCCATATTATTTATCGTCATCATTGCCATCCTTATCACTACTATTATTGTCACCGTTATCATTAAAATCCTAGGATATAAGCGATGTTTCAACTATTGTCTTAATTTAGGTCCTCAATCTTTGTGTGCTGGAAAATCTGACGGAAACTATAACATTCCCTCTTTTCCACATGACTTTGTTCAATGCGCAAATGGAATTGCATACTGCCAATCGTGTTGGCCTCAGAGTTTAATGTTTAACCAAACTTGCAATCAGTGCTTGTATCCAGACGACAGTAAGTCTGCAAATAAAAAGTTTATTTATTGCAAACCGTATAAATTACTAATATTATTTAAATATATGTATGTATATATATGTGTATATATATATATATATATATATATATATATATATATATATATATATATATATATGTGTATATATATATATATATATATATATATATATATGTGTGTGTGCAGGGCCGGCACGAGTAGGTGTAACGTGGGGGGGGGGGGGGGTGCGGTTACATTTTGCCTACTAAAAAAAAAAAAAAAAAAAAGGTCCTCGTTTTCCAAAATTTGCCGACTGCCATGACGGCATTTGCCGACGGTCTAGATTACCGACTAACCTATATCGAAAGGGTCAACATTTGCCGACTAACTAGACTAAATGGGTCAAATTTGCCGACTAAGGGTCCAATTTGCTGACTAAAAATATTGATGGGGGGTTGTACACCCCCCACACACCCCTATCGCGCCGGCCTTGTATGTGTGTGTATATATATATATATATATATATATATATATATATATATATATATATATATATATATATATATATATATATATATATATATATATATATATATATATATATATATATATATATATATATATATATATACAAATTAGTAAAAACACTGATTTAACAATTTGATCTAAACCTTTTTTACAGTGTGTAAAAGAAATTTAGGTCAGTGTTTTTACTGATAGGTTTTAGATAAGTGTTTTTACTAATTTATAATTGCTCTGTTTTTGAAGAACATTGAGGGCTTTATTTGTAAAATACACTAACTTAACTTACAATATTTTTTAATTTTTTAGTTTATTTTTAAGAAAATTTAACACTTTTTTTGTAAAATACACTAACACGTTTGAAATTTATTAATAATGTTACATAATATATATCATAAAAATATATATAAACATTCATTTTATTTATATGTTTATATATGTTATTTAATAACATAAATCATACAGAATACTTTAAATTAATATTTAGCTGCATGCTACACAACCAAAGCCTGGGTACCACAACCAACGCCTTATTGCCCCGATGAATGTCCCGGTAGAGGACAAAAATTTTCAGGTAATATAGCGGATGTAATTTCAAACAAGGGAAAGGGAAATCCAAATCACTACGTTGCATGTTGGATGGGAGTAACAATGGGGTGCATTAGTTGTCCATCTGGATTGAAGTTTAACGAAGAATCAAACGCATGCTTGTACGATGGGCTATACTTTACTGAACCATCGCAAAAGAAATAATCGATCATTGGCGTTAACAGTTAAATTATTTTTAAACTTTATACTTTTGAATCTTTTTTTTTTTGTCAATTTTTTTACAATTATGTTTAATACTTTCTATATTATATTTAATATTTTTATTTTAAAAAAAAATGTGTTTATGTTGTTTAGTATGTTAATTTTATGTCACGTTCTACTTATTAATATAACTTATTAACAAATATACCTTAAGAAATGATAATTTTGCAAATGAACCATTTTGTAAAACAAAATTTAATCAATGTTTTATTTCATTTTGTGCACCATATCTTTGGAATAGGTTTTACCAAATATCGATTACTTTTCCAGTCGTCAAAAATAAATCAAACAACTTCACTCTTTCAACTGAAAATATTTTTGAATACTTTTGATAACGTAGTTATACAATATAAAATGAAATTTTATGATACAAAGTGTATAATTATATTATAAATATTATTTCTTTCTGGTATTGTAATACATGTTATTTTTGAAAAAAAGTTTTAGCGAGATCATTAGGATCTCCTATCAGATCCCAGCTAGCACACTTACATTGGGCCAACGTATGTAAAACCATCGCGAACGTCGGCTCTTTTTTTAATGCAAAACCAACGTTGATCCAATGTCATTTGGTTAATGATAAAATTATTACCGATGGAAATAAAAACATCTGGCAAATTTACATTGGTCCAATGTATGTTAAAACATCGCAAAAAGTTGATTGTTTTTACGATCTAAACCCAATGTTGATCCATTGTATATATTTCGACGTTGATTCAATGTATATAAATCAACGTTTTTCCAATGTATGTAAAAACATCAAAACAGTTTGATTGTTTTTACGATCTAAACCCAACGTTGATCCAATGAATATATCTCGACATTGATTCAATGTATGTAAATTTTTTTACTTACACGAGTAAGTAAATTTTTTTGAAAAAGTTTATTATGTAAGTAATTGTCATCGTTCAAATTGAAATTACATTTACAAAAAAGTAAATAATTTTTATCAAACGACTTTTTCTTTATAAAGTAAGTTTTTTTACTTTCAAAAGTAACTTATGTAAAAACAGATTACATCAAAAAGTAATTCTCATAAAAAAGCAATTTACTTTTACATATAAATATTAATTACTTTTTCAAATTACATTACATAATTTAATAGTTCCTCAAAATGTAATTTACATTTACATATAAAAATAATTTATAAAAAAAATATTATATTACCGTAATTGTAAAAAAAACTTTTTTATGAAAAAGAATTACATTAAAGTAATAGGCGACCAAATATAAATAAAATTTACTTATAAAATAATATCATAAAAATTGTCATTTTTCATTGTGTAAGTAAAAAAAAAAATTGTTGTAAAAAATAGGGTTGTTAACCGGAGGATTTCGTGCAATTCCGGAAAAACAACATTCTTTCGTAAGGAGATTGAGAACACGGAATTACATTTTTTCGTACCGAATGTTACGAAACATTTAAAATCGCCGATGTTCATTTCGCAAAAGCCACTTCCGAAATTTAGCATTTCGCAAGTTGACATACGAAACAAAACTATTTTGCAACATACGAAAGTAGCGGTTTCGGAAGTCGCACTTGCGAAACAAACATTTTTGCCAAACGACGTTTTGAAGTCTATAAAGAAAATTTGTTTGCCAGACTGATTTTAATTGTAAAAATTAACATCTTTAAATCCCAAAATGTTTATAATGAATTTTTATTTTCAGTAAAATAACTTATTAAATTTTTACGGTTTTATTTTTAGAAATATTGATAAAAAATAAAATTTCTTTCGAAACGAAAGTATTTTGGATCACAACATACGAAAGAATTCTTAACGGAAATAAACTTACGAAACGTGCCATAATAAATATATACAACGATGTTTTTTGAACTCATTACGTATATTAAAAATAAGAATGATGGGTAGGAATATACATGTTTTTTTTTTAAAGCATATGAAATTTTTGAAACAGGTTCGAATATGCTTAAGCAAATAGTAAAAAGAGGCTCAAAAATATGCTTTAGCTTAAGCATATTTCTGATAAAATATACCTATTTCAATAATTTCTAAAAGTGTGCACGTTACTAAAATTCTAGCAGATTTTAAAGGTATGTAGAGTCCTGTTTGAATACGCTTTTCAAAGTATAGATCATAGAAAATATTGTTTTTTAATTTTAATAAGATATAAATTTGAGTATAAGATTGTATAGTTCAATCAGTTAGATACGTGATAATTCGCCGCAGAGATCCGGGTTCGCATCCCGCAGTCATTGTAACTTTTGTTCATCAAACTCTTTTTACTTAAGATAGCATTTTTTGACCTCCATGTTCTATATTACAGATCTTTTGTCGCCTTCACAATAGTGACAACCTCTCTTCTGTTAGTTATTCTTTTAAGATTGAGTTCATTGTGCATAATTTAACACGTTTCCCTTGCTTTACTAAGTTCTACTTAAATTATGATGAAATGTCCGTAAAACAATTTTTTCAAATAATATAATTCATTTTGCTTTAAATCTTTTGCTTTTTGTACTAGACATCTGTCCTAAATACTTTGTAATAATTTCTAGCTAACTCTGAGTCTAATATAACCATTTCTGAATATAATTTCCCTGAGGCTCCTACAGCCTATTGTGTTCCATTAAAAGTAACTAGTTTTTGAGTCCAGATATTAATTATAAGCATCTAAAGGTTCACATTACTATTCATTTTCCTGATATATAGAATCCTATTTGCATACGTATCTCTTTCTGTAAATTCTGTTTTATATAGTTTCAAATTATATATTAAATAAATATTACTATTCTCTTAGTTAAATGAACGTATAGCTCATTCAGTTAAGACATTTGGCCGCGTAGACCCAGGTTCACATCCCGCTGTTTCACATATATTTCTTCTCTTTTTACTCTTTCTGATATCATTTACCTTTAGAGAGATCTCTCGTTCTTTATAATAAAGTATTTAATTGTTTATCACACATCCTCTTTATACTTTTTAAAAAGAAAGGCATACTGTTTATCTATTCATTGAGAGTTAAACTTAACGGGATTTTACTGTATATATAAGTATATATTTATATATATATATATATATATTATATATATATATATATATATATATATATATATATATACATATATATACAGTAAAATCCCGTTAATGTATATATATATATATATATATATATATATATATATATATATATATATATATATATATATATATATATATATATATATATATATATATATATATATATATATATATGAATATATATATATATATATATATAAATATATATATATATATATATATACACATATATATACAGTAAAATCCCGTTAATGTATATATATATATATATATATATATATATATATATATACATTAACGGGATTTTACTGTATATATATGTGTATATATATATATATATATATATATATATATATATATATATATATATTATATATATATATATATATTCATATATATTATATATATATATATATATATATATATATATATATATATATATATATATATATATGAATATATATATATATATATATATATAAATATATATATATATATATATATATATACACATATATATACAGTAAAATCCCGTTAATGTATATATATATATATATATATATATATATATATATATATATATATATATATATATATATATATATATATTAGGTATATTTGTATAAACATTTGAAGAATCATTTGACAACATTTTTTTATAATTTTATTATCTATTATTTAAACTGTTAACGGTTAATATCTTAAATATATCGTAACATAAAATCTTTTGCGTCTTTTTCGTAACTACACATTCCGGAATGCTTTTTCCGTAAGGAACTATTTCGTAAGTATTCTTACGAAATGATTTGTTTCGCAAGTTTTCTTTCGCAATGCTTTACTACGGAATTTTATTTATTTATATTTTCGTATAGCGCGTTACGGAATGTGCATTTTCGCATGTGCAACTTCCGTAATAACAATTCTATTACGGTAGATAAAAATGCGAAATTTTCGCAAGTTTTGTTTTTCGGCGAACAACCCTAGTAAAAAATAAATTGTATAAAGAAAAAATTCTATTACATAAGCTTATATTTTATATAATTTTTAAAGTAAACTAAAAATAATTTATACTTTATAAGTAAGTAGATTTACTTATATTCTAAAATAAATTAGAGAGGATATTGTGCAACCGAGTGAAATGCAAAAAATACAACTTGCATTAAACTAACATTTAGTTTTTGGCGACATTTTTTGTGAGCGGTTTTGGTTTATTTTTCCCTTGTAAATTTTGATGGTATCAGTATTTGGTTTATAGGCATCAAATTGCTGCCGATTGAAAGTATTCTTACTCCCGGTCTAGACTAAATTGGGCAGTACTAGACTATATGGTGGTAGGTAGGTTTAGGCGGCGGCCATAAAATATTCAAAAGGATCGTTTTTTTAAATTCTTAAATCACTTAAGATGTTGTAGCATCAAAAAAAAGGAATCTATTAAAAAAAAAAACCCTGGGCAACAAATAATCTTAATCTAGTTATGGTTTTAGCTATTAAAATTTAATATTCTTTGAACTTATATTTTTGACTTACTACAGTATGCCAAAATATAATAAATATGTATGTTTGAAGAAATTTAATCTGACATATGTCGTGTCATGTATGGTATAATATCAGAAGTCATTATTGATAATTTTATAGAATGCTTCCGTTGCAGTTGCTAGATTTTCCCGCTAATTAGATTATTATTAAATTTGCCTCACGAGAAATGCATCAGTTTTCAGTGGGACCGAATGTTTGAAAGCTCTAAAAAAGAATATGACCAGTAATTAAAAAAATAATTATAAAAAATAAATGTTGCAATATCCCAGCAAGCACACAAACGTTATTTCAACGTTTTATATATATATATATATATAAATATATATATATATTTATATATATATATATATATATATATATATATATATAAATATATATATATATATATATATATTTATATATATATATATATATATATATATATATGTATATATATATATATATATATATATATATATATATATATTAGTTTAAATTTATACTAACCAACTGTTGTGCTTTATTGCAATTTTTTACTGCAAATTTCACATTTCGATTCGGACAACGGACAAAAGCATTCTTTATTCAACTTGATGGAATTTCATTAATACAAACAACATTGTCTTTTGACTATACTAACCAAAATATACTGGTTTCATAATTATAATACAGTTTTCACTACAGTTTCATAATTATAATATATATATATATATATATATATATATATATATATATATATATATATATATATATATATATATATATATATATATATATATATATATATATATATATGTATATATATATATATATATATATATATATATATATATATATATATATATATATACATATATATATATATATATATATATATATATATATATATATATATATATATATATATATATATATATATATATATATATATATACAGGACCGATATATGGATTTCTTGATAAAACTGAAGCAAAAAAATTTTTTTTTTACCAAAACAACACAAGTTGTTTTGGTAAAAAAAAAACTTAGTCAACTCTCATCAAAATCCTTATATCTTGGTATCAAAAAATAGGTGCAAGAATAACCTACAAAATAATAACAACCTTGAGCAATTGGGCATACCGTGGGGGCGGCGGGCGCACAGAAACGCCATCTTTGAGGTCAATAAAAAGAGATTTTTTTTTTAAAAAAAGTGTTTCTTCAGGAAACCGGTCTATTTCATATGCAAAAAGTTGTTACAATTTTATTACACTTCACTGCCAAACATCAGAGGTTCATTAAAAATATGGGGTGGACGTTGGGTGTTAAAATTTAACACACCCTAATTTAAAAAAACAATCATTCTCATAATTATTTTTACATCTTTAAAACAAAAAGTAGTGGTGTACACAAAGACACGAGAAAAAGGCGTATCCCTCCCCCTCTGGCCTAAAAAAAATAATTTTAAATTAGGTTTCCTAAAATAAAAATTGCTATTACTTTTAATGTTTTATTTTAATATAAAATTATTTTTACCATATTACAGTAATAGTATTACAAGATGCATCAGAGTATTTATTTTTGAAGAAGGGAGTAGCGGTTACCCCCTCTGACCTATACAAATTAAAAATAATTTAAAATGACGTTTTCTAAAATAAAAACTGCTATTATTTTATATGTTTTATTTTAATATAAAATTATTTTTACCTTATTTGAGTAGTAGTATTACAAGATGCATCAGTCTTCATATTTGCTGAGGAAGATGTCAAATCCCCACTCCGACCTAAAAATTTTTTTATTCATTTATATATGATTCCAAACAACAATTATGTGTTTTGGATTTTAGTTAATGATTAAGATAAGTTTCCAGAAATGAAACTATATAATAATCATTGTTAACCATAGACACAACGTGAACGTAAGTCAAAAACCGTCTATCAAAAAAAATTGCAAGTTCCACTACTTGCTGCACATAAATTTTGCAAGTTTCACTATCTGCAAAATTCTTTACATTTATGTTGCAAGTTCCACTATTTGCTGTACGTATATTTTGAAAGTCCCACTACTCGCTGTAGATTCATGTTGCAAGTTCCACTACTTGCTGTACATATATTTTGCAAGTTCCACTACTCGCTGTATATTTATGTTGCAAATTCCACGACTTGCTGTACATATATTTTGCAAGTTCCACTACTTGCTGTAGATTTATGTTGCAAGTTCCACAACTTGCTGTACTTATATATTGCAAGTTCCACTACTCGCTGTACGTTTATGTTGCATGTTCCACTACTTGCCGTACATTTATTTTGCAAATTCCACTACTCGCTGTATGTTTATGTTGCAAGTTCCACTACTTGCTGTACATTTATGTTGCAAGTTCCACTACTTGCTGTACATATATTTTGCAAGTTCCACTACTTCCTGTAAATTTATATCACAAGTTCCACTATTAGCAGTACATTTACAACAAAAATTCCACTACTTGTTTAACCTTTATTTTGCAAGTTCTAATTCTTGCTGTATATTAATTTTACAAGTTCCACATTAAAATAGCATAAGAAATTACGAAAATACTAACTCGCCTGATACAACATCAGCAACCAGATGGAATTTTTTCATGCTACGGCCGACAGCTTCTGTATAAGTTTCATCTCGAGCCCAGTAAGAAATTGTTTAAAAAATGCCTTTCGTTGTCTTTTTAAGTTTTTCAACTCTGCCATTATACAAGATCGCCATTGTTGAATCTGTATCATACCATTCGTGGCAGAGATTCCTTCCAACAATTCTTTCACACATAACATCATTTAAATCATCAATTTGCTTAGTATTAATATAATTTGCAGATCTTCTAAAATATATATATATATTATATATATATGTATAATTATTCTTATATAAAATTTATTGTAACTTTGATATACGATTTTATATATTGTTTACGTTGCTCCCCCTCTGCTATATAAGGCGCAGAATTACCGATAAAAGTACCTTTTCTGAGCATCGTAGAAGTGTACTTGAGCATCGTTATTTTTCAATAAAATTTGGCAGGTAGTGAGAAAATAGATATATCTAAATTGCATATAGTTTTAAAAGTCAGCACTACATTTCTTCGATAGTAATTTAATCAACGAACAACAACATAGTTTTTGACACCAATAAACTTGATATAAACGTTAACAACTTCCAAAAATGAAAACACTAATATAAAGCCAAACTATTCATCTTTTTAAAAATTATCTAAGATGATATAGAATTCTAAAAAGTTATAATACAAAAAACATTTTTACCACACTTACTCTAAACGGACTTCAAAAAACGTTGAACAGTTTTTAGCACAAATTTCGGTTCCGTAAAATGTATTTTCTACGTACCTAATAATATAGGAGCTAAAGTATACCATAAAGTCATTTTTAAATATATCTACTTTGTTTTGTCATGTGCATATAATGCTTATCCAGAGAGAGGAGCCAGATGGAGTTTTAGTAAACATTCTAGTTATTTAATGCATAAACATTCTGGTTATATAATCAGGGGCGGATCTAGCTTTTTTTTGAGGGGTGCTGTGCTGCAACGATGAGGGGGGTTTTCATTAACCCCTCCCCCCGCGCTTTGCGGGGGTAAGGTGGGTGTATGAAAGGGGGTGGTCATAAAAAAGGTTTTTATAAAGTAAGGGGGAGGGGGTCACCCAAAAGCGTACAAGTTTGTTTAAGAGGTGTTCAAGGTAACAAATACGTACGTAGTTTGACTATATTTTTCATCAACTTTTTTTAAAATACTCAACCTCCTTTTTTTAACAAATGAAAAGGCTATATTCCTCAAGGTCTTTCACCTGTCTGCCCGTCTTTATATACCCTTTAAATTACCCGTATTTTGATTAAAAATTTAGATCAGAAAGGTTATAATTCTTATAAACATATCAACTTTATATACATAATAATACTTTGTATGCAAAATAATGCTGCGACTTTATTTTATTAGCAGTAATCAACTTTTATATCAATAACAATTCAATAACAGGGTTATCACTAATAAAAATGATAATAAAAATAATTACTCTCGCCTGCCGAATAAACGGGAGGGGACGTTTATTAATTTTTCTCCGACCCCTCGCAGCTTATTAGGACATCCTCCCCTCCCCCCCTCCCCCCCCCCCCCTCCATTATTAATTTTGAAACAAAATAAAATAATTTTGCTATTTTTTGACTTAAATAAAAATATTTCTCTCATTAATAGATGAAAATATGAACAACCAACCAAAAAAACTATTTTAAGACGACCCTTCGGTTTATCAAGATCCCAGTTTATTAGATTTTAAAAAATTTTCCGACCCTCCTATTTATTAGGACAACCCTCCTCCCCCGTTTATTCGGCAGGCGAGAATACTGTGCGAAAGTAATTTTGTGTACATAAAAATATTTTGTATGCAAAGTAATGCAGCAACTATATATTGGCAGTAATCAACCGTTATACCAAGAATCAATCAATAATGATACAATAATTTCATGAACCCAAATAATGAACACACAATTTATTTATTATTCGTATGACATATAACATAAACTAGGAATAGCATAAGAATTGAACAGTAAAACCTAGTTTTAAAATGTTAAAAGTAAACAAATTTCTTACCCTAACTGTACTAAATTTCTTTTTCTAAACTGTTACCTTATGACCAATATAGTAAATTTCAAATCATGAAACTATACTAAATTAAAACCATATTTCAACAGTAGGAAAACTAAAAAAAAAAGTAGAATAGTTACAAAATAAAGAACTGATGAAAAAAACTGTTAATAAAAATCTAGTTTCAACGAAACTCAAAATTTGCTTCTAATATGATCTTTAAACTTGAAAATATATAAAGTAACCATCTAGTTTAACTCTAAAAACACCTGCAACATGCACATTATATTGCAATTATAACACAATTGTATTACAACTCACTATTAAAAATAATTATTAATACTATGATGTAATAAATTTATGCACATAATATACTTAAAATATATAATTATACACAATAATTATTTATAAATTGTAATAACAATAATAACAATAATAACAATAATAATAAACTTTTACACTAAATACATTAGCAATAGTGAATAGATTTAATAACATTATATAACACTGTTTATAAACAAAATTATGTAACAATGATATTCTGAGTTTCATGATATTCTGGGGTCATTTATTTTCCAAGCATATTCCCTAAAAATATAAATAAAAATGTAATAACAGACTTATCTTTAAATCCAGTTATAATTTAACTTTAATTATAATTAAACTATAATTATAACTATCAATAATGCTAATTTATTAATAATGAAAACTTTATAATTATGTCTGATAACTCAAACTTTTACTAAGCCAGATTTTCAATTCCCATTGAACTTTCTATACATAGCGAGAACTTCTCCTAACTCTGACATTCGATAAGTCTGACTATTTATCTATTCCCCTTGAGAGTCAGACTTAACACAATTTTACTGTATATATTTTTTGATGTATAATTTCATGCTCAAAAAATACAAAAAAAAAAAAAAAACTGCAGAACTTTCTAGGACCACTATTTAAATTACTCTATAAAATAGATAAAACAGTAAATACTAAATTTATATTATATTATTAAATAAAACAGTTTAAATTGGATCAGAATTTAAAATATCTACAAGTTTTATTCTACGAGGATTTTTCCTAGCAAAACAATTAATCACTTCATTCACATCAATGCTGATATCTAGGTGAACGTGCATTAAAGCAAGACTATTAAATCTATGACATTGTGTTACGTAGATAGGTTTTTAAACGACAAATAACAGAGATTGATCTTTCGCAAGTGCATGTTGTTATTGGAATAGTTGCAAGAATTTGAAAGTAAATATATTAGGAAAGGTAAATATAATAGGTAAAGGTAAGTAAAGGTAAATATATTAGGAAAAGTTATTCTATTACTAAGTGGAAGGAGTTTGGTTAGAGTAGTGAAAAGGAAGTTTTTAAAACTACGCCAATAATCTTCCCACATGTTTAATTCGGTCATAATATAGCGTGTTTCCGGTAGTTCATCTTCATACTCATTTAAAAAAAAAAGAAAAATGCTTCTCCATTCAGCAACATTTAAAAGGTTAGTTGGCATTGCAAAGAATCCATTATAAACAGCAATGTTTCTATTAGAAAAACATAATTGAATCTGGGATGATAAATGGCCAAGAAAAGGAATTGTAATAACTTTCTTGTAATACTCATTAATAGATTCAATAGGACAATTATTTAAATTAAGCTGTTTTCCTATTGTACGAGGGTTGTGCTAATAAACACCAACACTAGCTGCCAATACAACTGCCTCGCTATACCAAGAACCATGACTGTGTTCAATGTCTGATCTTAGTCGCTGTAAAGCAAGATGTAACAAATTTACTTTTTCATGCGATACAAAAACATCAAAGTTTGGAGATTGAAATAGTTTTGTAATTGGTCTTGTTACTTCCAAACAGTCGGACACCACTACTAAAGTGACAACAAACTGAAAAGATCTAGTAGCAAAGAAATAACTATTTGCATCACACACTGAGTCATGATTCCAAGACTTTTCATTGTTATTAATCATTAGCGCAAAGCATTTAATAATTAGCAGGAAGTACCTCTATAATCACATCTAAACCATTAATTCTGGCAATCCATTTTGTACGACATACATCTATTACACGAGAGTGATGAGCTTTTGGAAACATTTCTTAAATTTTTTTTTCTAAACATCAAAATGCTTTGGAGTAAACTTAAAGAACTGAGATATAACACAAAGATTTGACATCATATTGCTCACTATTTGTATGTTACAGGCATTTGCAACACAAAGATTGAGGACATGAGATCCACAATAAACATACAATGCTTTTGGATAAATAGTTTTTATTCTTACTGCAGCACCGGAACAGTTCCCAGCCATGTTACCAGCACCGTCATAACCTTGACCAATACAAAATTTCATTTCTAATTCCAAATCTTTAATACTATTCAAAATTTGGCTGGCTATAGCTTCTCCAGACAAACCTGAGTCGCAAGGAATAAAACCAAAAAATAGTTCACAAATTTCACAATTATTATTTGCAAAGCGTAATACAAGTGGCATTTGTTCCATATTGCTAACATCAGATGCTACATCTGCTAATATTGAAACAAATTTAGCTTTTTTAACTTCACATTTCAATTTAAAAACTATAATGCCATTACAAATATTAATCAACTTATTTTGAGTAGTTTTAGAGCGATATGTAGCATTTTTTGGAGTAGCAATTCACCCATTCACCAAACTGTTTTCTGCACAATCAGATATTAACTTTAAAATCGATTGAAGATTGCCAAAGTTACTATTTTCATTCTCATAGTAAAATGAATCATCTCATCTGTGACCTCGGAGAGGGATGTTTTGTTTTCCACGCATAATAATTGCCAGAACTATTGGTTTTAATACTTCTCTATTTTTCTTGACTTGTTCATCAATTACTTTGTTGAGATTTAAGTCAATAATGTTTATCTTTTGCTACATACATTGGCGAAAATGAGTTGCAGTTTGTTGAATTGGTGAACTTTCAGTATTTTTATTAAACTTATTAATGGCCTTCATTATGTGTTCATTATACTAAAAAAAAACTTTTTTTTAATTTTAGCACCTAGAACAAAATTTTACACATTTTTCAGCTTAAATAAAAAAGTTTGTAGTAAAATGTTTAAGTACAAAAAGCTATAGTATAGCTTTTTGTATAGCCTATACACGATTTCTTAATTTGCTATTATTTTAACCATCAATCAACACAACACACACACACACACACACATACATAAA